ACATTGACCCAAATGGGCCCAACCCCCATTTTCCCGCCTTTTTCACTCATCCTCAGTGCCGAGGCTGCCAGCTGCTGGAGGAGTTCCCCAGCCCTGCCGGCCCCGCCTTCCGGCACACGCAGCGCTCGGCGCGCGCCTTCCTGGAGGGCGCGAAGAGCGGCAAGGCTTTTGTGGCGGTGAACTTTGCACCAGAGCAGGCAGACCATGGGGGGTGGACAAAGGATGGGGCGAGTGGGGAGAGGCATGGAGGTGAGTTCCTTTTCTCTTGAGTTGGAAGATGTTGACTGTGATTGAACAAGGATTTGCGCTTTTTTGGTGCGATTCTTCACCTTTATTTTTCGTCAACGTCCGACGCCCGACCGGTGTTCCGGAACCGTTGTTCGATGTCCGGAACCGGCCGGGCAACACCTCCCCCCCCCCACCAGCTGCCCATAGGGGTCGTTTGGTTTCTTTTCCTTCCAAAGATCGGAGAGGACTCTTCGACTTGACCCGGGCCGCGCAGAGGTGAAGCCTTGGTGGCGCATTGGAGAGGCCATGGAAGGCGAGGTGGAAGGCGAGGTTGTCACAAAGGCAGACGACCCAGTGACAAGAAGCTTGATTCGCCTCACTGTCCAAAGTTTAAGGCCTTTGACCCACTTCATTTGGAAAAGTCTTTTCACCCATCGTTTGCCTACCAAAGTGGTGCTTGACCAGCTCAGAGCCCTTCAGCATCCTTCAGCCATGCTTTCAATCCTTCTCAGTTGTTGACTTGTTGATGTCAATTCTTTAGGTCTTGGATACCCGAAGCATCTCAAGCCTGTCTTGCTTGCCCAACGGTTGGTCGCCTCTGTCCGATAAATGTGGTGGACCAGTGCTGAGATGGTCCAAACCAAGGAAATTCAAACCCATATATAGATCTTTGGTTACAGAACATCACCTGGCCCCCATGCGAAGCACTGAATTTGGTCATCCCTTTTTGATGTCCTGGCGTTTCCGACCGAGAGACCGACGCAAAAAAACCCAGCTCCTGCCAGGAGCGCCTAGAGAAGATGCTCCAAGAAATGATGCCACACCCTTTGTCTTGGAGCACGGCCGCAGTGTCTTCGAGTTCTACGGCGACGCCGCGAACGCCCGGGCCTCGCAAGCCTTCGACGAGCTGATGCTGCAGCTGAGTACGAGCGACGGCGAGAGTGGTGCGAGTGCGGAGCTGGTGGCTGACGCTGAAAGCTGAAAATGCTGAAGAGGAAGAGCTGGTGAATTTGGAATAGGTCTTAGAACATGGAGGACTATAGCTAGGATACCGACAGTGCTCGTTTGTGGGGCCGGCATTCAGTATCTCAACAGTGGGACAGCCCAAGGGAAGAAAGTAAAGAAAGACAAATCGGACAAAAGGAACTTGAAAAAATCTTTTCCCAACTTCTGTACCTCTGAGACCTCGGAAACAGATTTGAAACACAGCCTTCTTCCATCCAGCGCTGAGGAGATGCCCATCTGGGACGTCAAGAGCCAGCAGGTTCCAGTGGTGGTGGACGTTGGTGGGGGCAAAGGACATCTGCTGATGGAAATCCTGAGGAAACATGACGAGTGGAGAGGCCGCGGTCCGCGGTCCGCAAAGGGCGAGGTGAGGCGACATCATCCAGTCAAACAGATCACGCTGGATCCAGTCAAGCCCAGTCAAGCCCACCAGCCCAGAAGTTAGATGTGCCAGTTCTGCCTACGGTCAATTTTTGCGGGTGTGGGTCTCCCCGGATCTCCAGCATTCACACAGCTTTCAGATGTTCACATCCTGGATCTTTGAGGATTTGCTGGGCCAACTCACCGGCCTCGGGGATCCCTGCCGCTTCGAACACTCAGATCACCGGGGTGAGTCGAGCTTCAGGGGTCCGTCCACCGAGCTTCAGGGGTCCGTCCACTCGGTCTCCCGGCAGCTCCCGTGCGAGGCGTTCTCTTCGACCGTCCAGAGGTTCTGGAGACGTGTGAGGATCTTGGTTCGGAGCGTGTGACCTTGGTGCCGGGGAACTTCTTTGAAGATCTGCCCTGCCAGGCGAGTTCTGCTTCGCTTTTCTTTCGTTTGGTTTTGGGAGGGGTTTGTGGCTGGCGTTTGGAGTGGTGAAAGAAGTATTCACTGCACTACAGACCTGTTGAGCAAATTGCTTTGCGCGAACGGAGCAACATAATTTCACTTCCACTGCCACTTTCAAACCCAGTGATTCAGATTCCACGTCCACGTCTGGATCACCAGGTGGGCACGATTCCATGTCACTGTGGGTGATATCCGTCACAGCACATCCGATTTTTCGTTCGCTTTCCGTATATACTCTTACTCTTTCTCAAACGTGTCTCATCTCCTAATGTTGTATTTTTTGACTCTGTCTATTGGCTTGGTGTTTTCAAAGCAGTGTCTCGGTCTCCACCATCTTTTGATGGGTAAAGTGGCTTAGCACTCCCTGAAATAATTGTCATGGGTTAGTGGAGTTCACCACCTGTTTGGTAGTCGGATTTCGTGGTAGTCCTTTGGCAAATGCCATCCACAGTGCGATGGCCTCCAACCGACTAGCGATGGCCTCCAACCTAGTAGGGATGGCCTAGCGCTTTTCTTTCCCTCCAGCCCAGGGGGACGTCTTTCTCCTGAAATGGATCTTGCACGACTGGAACGACGTCCAGTGCCGCCGGATCCTTCAGTGCCTCCGCACGGCCCTCGAACGAAGTCGCAATTCCGGTGGCAGTTCACCACGGCTGTTGATCCTGGAGCAGGCGTGGTTCTCAACATGATATGTTTATGATATGTTCAACCATCTTTGCTGAATTTGGCTGAAGAACACCAACCAATTTCGGCCGAAACGACCAGGGGAAGCGAACAAGTCTTTTTCTCCCTACAAAAGGTACCCGGAGACCTTGAAGGACCTGCGACCTTTCCATCTTTGCCTTGAGACCTTCGGGACGACCATCCGCCGAAAGGTGGTTCCGGAGACCGACGACGGCAGTGAGGACGCTGAGCTGGTTTCTTGGAGATGGTTTCTCAACGGAGTGAGTGGATCTCGTGTCTCCAGTCCAAATCCATCCATCCTCAGCGGATCTCGTTTCATCGCACCGTGCACGGCACACCAGTTTTTGGGTCAACCGGTGCCGATAGCGGTTGGGTTCCGTTTTCATGTCACCAAGAAGTTGGGGAGGAACGACTGCATTTTGGGACAGAAATTCCATTCTCGTCTCGTTCGGCTCGAGATGTTTTGACCCTGTGTCAATTGGCTGAGCCATTTTCAGCTGGTTGGAGGTCAAGAGACCTGCCGTTGATCTCTATCGAAGGATCACCCGTTCGGATGTTCCATCCCTGCGATGTTTTCGGATGTTTTCGGACGTTGCACACCAAAAGGGCTGGGATCGTCCATCTTTCTAGAGAAGTTGAGGCTCCCAACATCCACGGAAGCCCTTGGCAAGACTGAGATTGTTGGCCCACTTCCTGTGCAGATGCTCCAAGTCCAGCTCACTTTTTCTTCTTCTTCTTCTTCTTTTGGACCCATGCTCCAAGTCCAGCTCGGTCTGGTGGCGGATCCCAAGGCGCGCGCCAGCTTGAACGACCTCTACTTGTGGGTCCTCTATGGTGGCCAGGAACGGAAGGTCTCGGAGTATGCGAAGCTGCTGGCAGCCGAAGGACCGCTGCGGTCAAAGGGGCGCGGAGGATCGAGGTTGCACTTGGGGTGCAGGATGTGGTGGGGGGGATGGAACCTCGCGTGCGGGTCTGGTCACATGATCACATCTGCACGTGGAGGAAATGAGGCTGAGATTTTCCAAGTTGGTGTCCTTGCAATGGGACTCTGGACCCTAGCGATGTACATTTGCAATATCCAAGTTTGGAACATGTCAGGCACTTTTGAAGCACAGTTCATTTAAAAACCTTCATACACCCCCTGTGCAAACATGTCTGGGGTCCTTTTAACACGCCTGTGCAATCCCAGTCCCAAGCTGAGGGGTGGTGTTTGGCACAAGCACTTTTAGTCTGCAAGGCACTGTAAGGAACATGTACAACCTGATCTCAAAAGAACTTTGAGTTGGGGAGAAACTCACCACTTCTGACCAATGTCCCTGTACAATTGGCCACCATGGGCGATCGGTGCTTGGTTGATGCGACGCACCCGAAGACCCGCCGGCAGCCGAACCCAATTTGGATGGACAGAAATTGGCTAGCTACTAATAGCTAACCTTTTAGCAGATGTCAAAACCGCCGCAAATGAACAGAGCATTATTTCAAAAAGTGCCCCCCCCCCCCCCCCCCCCCCCCCCCCCCCCAACCCACCAGGCCCCCCCCCAAGCCAGTTGGTTCTCTTCCACCGGAATTGGTAGGATTCATCCTGGAGCATGTGGCGCCACTGAGTGGTTTTCGCCTTGTCGCGTTGCAGTGCTGTCTCGCGAGCAAAAGGTTCCGGCTTCGAGGGTGGCGGGGAATCACAGGTATTCTCAAAAAATGTTCTGTTTTTTTATGTTTTTTCTGTAAGCTTCATAGAAGCGAGTGAAACATGGAACTGACATGTGTTCTTGGTGGTGCTGGTTGTGCGGTTGTGAGACCGCAACTTTTCACCTTCCACCTGGGTGGTTGGTGGGATCGTTCTGCACCACGCGGTCAACCGAGCAGATCCACCGAGTGCCGGCCGCGTGCGTCGAGGTCTTCCACCACGAATGGTGCCTTCACGTAAAAGGTGCTACCTCGCTCAGGACAGAACATGTTTGGTCACCTGGAAGTAGGGTTGACATGTTTGGTCAGTTGAAAAGGACCAACACCCTAAATGGCGTCTCTTCGTGTGTCACATGCACTCACAGCTGCTGCAAGGAATGATCACTTGTGATGGGGAAGTTAACGAGATCCCAGAAAGAGTCCATGGTCCATGGCAATCATTTCCAGCAGGGTCAAACCCGTTCTGAATATATATATATATAACGGGCAGTAGGCTTGTCACTGTTTTGGCAAAGGTCCCCCAAAATGCAATATCTATTTTTCGGTTGTGGACTCGTGGACCATGGCAACTCAGTAGACTCATTGGCCTTTACTTTGGCGTATACTCAACGCAGCACATGGCCGTGCCTCAGCGCCATGTGAGTCTCCAGCAATGCTTGGTTGGACAAGCGCTGATGTGCCGGAGAGCCCAGGAAAGGAACGCCCGGTGCTTCAAGCGGTAGGGATGAAAGGAGGGAGGACTGTTGAAACCGGTTGAAAACCATCCAACCATGTGTGAAAGGACAAGGTTCTGGTGGTATCAACCATATATACGTACATACACATGAGTTTCAACCACATGTACATATATATATATATAAGATAATACTATAACATACAATATAATATAATGTAATTGTAAGGGCTTCGCCCGGGTGCCGCCGACCCCTTTTCAAGAGGAGTGTAGCATGTGTAACTGAAGGCGTTAGTGTCGTTCCGGTGGTTGCCCGTCTGCGGAAAGAAGATGGGTGTTCTAGCCTTAGGCGTGGCCTCGGACAGGCTAACTGTGGCCTGTGCTAAAGCCCACAAAGGTGGAGATGCCAATGCCAATAAGGTTGCACTCTGCGAGGCGCCGAGAAGCGTCTGAGGGGGGCCGTCGCCTTCGGAAGCCTAGAAAAGAAGAGGCTGGCCTCGGCTGCTAGCACCGTACGTGGCAGCCCAGGCCATGCCAAGGCTGCGTGGCCTCGGACAGGCTAGCTGTGGCCTGTGCTAAAGCCCACAAAGGTGGAGATGCCAATGCCGAGGTTGCACCCTGCGAGGCGCCGAGAAACGTTTGAGGGGGGCCGTCGCTTCGGAAGCCTAGAAAAGAAGAGGCTGGCCTCGGCGGTTAGCATCGTATGTGGCAGTTCAGGCCATGCCAAGGCTGCGTGGCCTGGGACAGGCTAGCTGTGGCCTGCGCTAAAGCCCACAAAGGTGGAGATGCCAATGCCAAGGTTGCGCCCTGCGACCCCAGGATATACACCAACAACAGCAATCACAGCAGCAGCACTAAGAAGAAGACCCAGAAGCATCACAAGATCAGAAAAACCACTAGCAACAGGCAGCAAGAAGCATAGTAGCACTGCCTCTGTTCTGGCTGTGCTAATAGACTGGCGGCTGTTTGCGGGGGCCTTGTTGGACAGCCCAGGTGCTGAGCCAGCAAGGCTTGTGCTGCGGCAGCCCTGGTGCTGACCGTAGCACTTCCTGTGGACGGCCGCAGGTCTATCTGCATGGCTGGAGAACAGGCCTGCCAGCTGCCGAGAGAGGAGGCAGGCCTCGGACAGGCCACAGAGAGGCCGCAGCGGGCCTGCCAGCTGGCGAGGCCTCGGACCGAGGAGGGTTTGAAGGCGGTCCAAAATGCATAACGTCGCCTTCAGAAGCCCATAAGAAGAGAGGAGGCAGGCTTCGGACAGGCCACAGAGAGGCCGCAACAGGCCTGCCGGCTGCCGAGGAGGGTTTGAAGGCGGTCCAAAATGCCTAACGTCGCCTTCGGAAGCCCATAAGAGGAGAGGAGGCAGCCTTCGGATGCCCATAAGAAGAGAGGAGGCAGGCTTCGGACAGGCCACAGAGAGGCCGCAACAGGCCTGCCAGCTGCCGAGAGAGAGGCCTCGGACAGGCCACAGAGAGGCCGCAGCAGGCCTGCCAGCTGGCGAGGCCTCGGACAGGCCTTTGGAAGTGCTTGGAAGGGTTCTGCTAGGCTTGGCCAACTGCTTCACGCGAGGGTTTGAAGGCGGTCCAAAATGCCTGGCCACAGAGAGGCCGCAACAGGCCTGCCGGCTGCCGAGGAGGGTTTGAAGGCGGTCCAAAATGCCTAACGTCGCCTTCGGAAGCCCATAAGAAGAGAGGAGGCAGGCTTCGGACAAGCCACAGAGAGGCCGCAACAGGCCTGCCAGCTGCCGAGAGAGGAGGCAGGCCTCGGACAGGCCACAGAGAGGCCGCAGCAAGCCTGCCAGCTGGCGAGGCCTCGGACAGGCCTTTGGAAGTGCTTGGA